GAAGCTTGGCGTCTTCGTCGGGGAAGTGTGGGACGCTGCATAGAATGGGTTTGGGATGCTTGTGTGAGCCACGGTACAAATGAGTGATGAGTGTGTTTGCTTTCACCAGCCTGTCTCGGTCGTCCAGAGACCCGTCCGCCCGCCCCCTTTGCACCGGTGGTACTGCGCTGCACTCACGTCAGGATCGTGTCCAGGTAGCAGGCGCCTACCATGACGAGATGCACCGTCTTCTTCCCGGGCTCCATGTTTTGCTTGTCCGCGAATCTCGGGCGCCGTTTGCGTTGTGTTTCTTTTTTTTCTTTCTTTTTTTTTTGCTCTGTGCCTTTGGCGCGCAGAGATGGCTGGGACAGAGGTAACTCGTATATCGAGACTCCCTCTAGTGCAATACGGGTTATTTACCCCTTGCTTCGTCCGTCCTGTTGTCGTCGTCGTCGTCGGGCTGATCCGAGGAATGAAGAGGGAATGAATGGCAAGACTCTGCAGTCAAGAAAGGGCGATCGAGGTCGAGAGGTCGAGGGGTCTAATTAGGTTGGCAAATGTACCAAAACTACTGTACCTCGATATTAGTGCCTGACCTTGACGGTAGGTCCTGGCCTCATTGCCGTAGCGCCGCCACCTCTCCTTCTTTCTTGCCTTTTCCTGTACAATGAGTATCCCCTATGGTTAGGTTATCTAACAGCACAAAACTGAACGAACCTCGGAAGACAACAAAGCGCAGGCAGAGCTCGGGGACGTCTGGACCAATCAACCTGGATTTCAATGGGGAGGAGAGCCGATTGTCTCGTTGGTTGATCGGTGACGTACCTCCCTGCCCTGGGTAGGCCTGACCTGACTAAGACCCCTCTTCCAGTGTTCGATTGTCGAGACATCATCCATCACCGGCAATCTACCAGGTGCTCGCTCGTGTATGGGACGATGATTGCCCCACCATCAGACGACGAAAGTTGCATACCTATACCCGTGCCCATCGCCGCCGCACTGAGATGAGACCGTACCCGAGAAGCAGTCATCAACCCGCGGAGGATTCCCCCATCGGGACCCAGACGGGCGGCGGCGCAAACACCAGCAAAAATAACCTGGAAGGCTCGCTCAGTCCGTGCTGACTCGTAATACTGCACAATACTGCGATACCTTGATCCCGCTCCAGGATGGCGGCCCCCGCCGATCATGCCAGGCACATCTCGTTTGAGGATGTCGGCTCCAGTGCGAGCGACGAAGACCACAACGCCGTCGAGGTAGGTAACCCACCTCCTTCAAGCCCCAGTCACACCATCGCAGACTGGATACCGGTCAGGTACACCACTGCGCTGCCAGTGAGACCAAGCTGAACCTCGTGTCCCCTCCTTGGCAGGTCCTCTTTGATCCGTCGAATCCCTACCGGCGCAAGAGCTCGCTGGTAGCCAACGAGAGCCAACTGCCGGCTGCCCTCTATCGGAAGCAGCCGAGGAAGACGGAATGCCTCGTCCATCAGTTCCTCGACAGCCAAAGGCGCTCGCGGCACCTCACGGCCGACGACGGGCCTTACGACGGCGAACCCAAGGCCAGCCGCCGCGGCCACCAGTCCCGCAACCACAAACATGACGGCCCAGTCTTTAGCAGCCAGGTCAAGGATATATCCGACCAGGCCCGGCCGGACAGCGTCGTAGATCCCAAGGGCAGCGCGGCCAGCCGCTGCGCCATCGTCGACGCCGCCTCCAGCGAAACCGACGTCGGCCAGGAAGACGAGAAGGAATGGAAGACGGTCATAACACAGACCACATCCGAGCTCGACCTGCACCGCACCGAGGTCATCCACAGCCGCCTGCTCAGCAAGAAGCAGCTCAACGAAATGGCCTGGGGCGTCAGGGAGCTCAGCCGGCGGCTCGGAAGCGTGCGCCTGCGGTTCAAAGTCAAGACCATCTTCCTGCTGACCAAGATCTACGACGAGGAGCTGATCCCCAAAACAAGAGAGTTGACGAGGTGGCTGCTCGACAAGGACCGGGATGTGCGCTATGTTGTCTACGTAGACCAGGGCCTGCGGGAGAACAGGGAGTTTGACGCCGCGGGACTCGTGGACGAAGTGCAGCGCTCCTTTGTCGAGTCGGGCGAGATGACCGAGGAAGCCGCCCGTAACACAAATGGCGGCGTCTCCAGCCGGCTCCGATACTGGGACGACCAGATGTGCCGGACCCGGCCGCACACCTTTGACTTTGTCATCACGTTGGGCGGCGATGGCACCGTCTTGTACGCCAGCTGGCTCTTCCAGCGCATCGTGCCGCCCGTGCTGAGCTTCGCGCTCGGCAGCCTAGGCTTCCTGACCAAGTTTGACTTTGAGGAGTACCAGCAGACGCTGACGAGCGCCTTCAGCGACGGCGTCACCGTCAGTCTGCGGCTGCGGTTTGAGGGCACCGTCATGCGAAGCCAGAGGCAGCTGCCGACCCTCATCGAGGATGGGAGCGGGAAGGAAAGCAGCTCGGTGGACGAGGAGCGCATGCAGCGACGGCGCGATTTGGTGGAGGAACTCATTGGCGAGGAGAAGGAGGACGAACACACGCACCGGCCGGATGGGACATATGAGGTGCTGAACGAGGTGGTTGTTGATCGCGGACCGAATCCCAGTGAGTTTGCCCCCCAACCCCACATGCCCCCTATCCTAACCAGCACCCAAAAGCAATGTCCTTCACCGAGATCTTTGGCGACGACGAGCACTTCACCTCGGTGCTCGCCGACGGCGTCTGCGTGTCGACGCCCACGGGGTCGACGGCGTACAACCTGGCGGCGGGCGGCAGCCTCTGCCACCCGGAGAACCCCGTGATGCTGGTGACGGCCATCTGCGCGCACACGCTCAACTTCCGGCCCATCATCCTGCCCGACACCATCGTGCTGCGCATCGGGGTGCCGTACGACGCGCGCACGAGCGCGTGGGCGAGCTTCGACGGGCGCGAGCGCATCGAGCTCCGGCCCGGCGACTACGTCACCATCAGCGCGAGCCGGTACCCGTTCGCCTCGGTCCAGTTCCAGGGACGCCGCAGCGAGGACTGGATTAATAGTATCAGTGCTAAGCTAGGGTGGAATACGAGGCAGAAGCAGAAGGTGAGCCGGAAGTGGGGCGAGGGGGGGGAGGGGGACGAGAAGGGGGGGAAGAGGTAGCCGGTGCTGGGTGTTGCGTGTCTCTCTTGAAGGAATTCTGGAATTCTCCCTGGGATGTTGATAACTAGAATACATACATGGTTGTCCTAGAAAGCACACCTGTCAGGACGGAGGGATATATGTACAATACATATCCTCCAGCTAGATCACCTACGACTGGCAAAGCACTTCAGCACTACCTAGATATACCCAATACAAGGGGTCCGGGTGTGCCAATGCTGTGGGAGTGCTATATGGATCTTGGTTACTTGGTACCTAATACAAGGTGTAAATAGACGCCTCCGTGGTGGACTGAATGCTTCGGCTGGCGGTTTGTAACGGGGCACACTGTGGGCGAGAAAGGCACGGAGAGGAGGAGATACTTGCGAATAAAATAACTGTATCCAGACAGTCTTCAACCCCCTGCCGCCGTTGTTCTCGTGCAGTGAGATGTATTTTGTTTGTTTGTCTGATGGTGCCATCATCTGCTGCGACTTTTGTAGCTTTCCATCCTGGTCTTTCCAGTTGTCGTATTAAGTTGGAGGTAGACTCGCACTTGATTGGGAACCCCCGAATACCGACTGCAGGGTACAGTTTAAAGTTATCTTATTTGAGGACTGCTTCCCGGCTTTTGCGTGGTAGACTTGGGTTGATAGCAGGTCGGTATCTAGTCTAGTAGGTGGTTGTGGTTGTGTCTTGTAGAAGAGGTGGAAACCAAGGCAGCGTGGTTGGATAAGGTATCAGACTACGATTTGACTCTCAGCAGACGGATGGGAAAGATAAACTAGTATGTACCTGTAGGTTGGTGTTTCTTTGGGTGTACCGTGTAATGATGTGGCAGCTTGTCTTCGTGCTCTCTGTGTGTGTGTTCTCCGGGGGGACAGGAGGGTACCTATCTAGACTTGAAGTGTATGATTGAGTATAACGCCTTTTGGTTTGTGATTAGGGGCACTGGACGATTACATCCAATGTAATGTTAATGTTTTCAGAAGAAGAAAGAGACTTTGAGGCTGAGGTTCTGAGTAGGTATCTAGATCGAGTTGTTTGTCGCTTGGTATATGGTTGGAATAGAAAACAACAATTGGTATGTACCAGGTAGGTAGATTTGACTCGGGTACCTTACCTGATGAGTGCCGGGTGCGGAATACTGCCCGATGGGTTCATGGCTAGGGGAAGGTGAAAGGTTGTGTATTTGCATGAATGACTGGACTGTTTGTTAGTCAGGCTGTTTCAATGTACAGTTAGTTATCTACTTGTACATTACTACCGTTATTCTTTTACTTTTTTCAGGTTCCTAAAAGGCTTTCCTGTTCGTTATACTGATTACTAGAAATGCCGCGATTCGATTCGTTACATTGTAGGTGGTGAATGCTTGTGAGTCTTTGAGGCACTGTGGTGCTTCCGGCCCGGAATCAAAGAGGAATAACGTCCCATTCTCTTATGTATCTATCGCATGATTGATATCGGGGCATGTCATCAGCTTGGTCACCGACTTGAAGACCGTTTCGTGTTCGTTTATTCTCAGTTTGCTCTGCGTGGTGACCGTTTAAGTTTCAGGAACTCCCTTACCTTGGACTCGAACGGAAGTCGAGACGTTGTTGAATATTTACGTTCTGATCGTCTTGAGATTTGATACATTTCTTTTATTCATTTCATTATCATGTTCTGGGTTGGGAATACATGCAATCTTCTCATCAGCTCATCATCACCTGCCACACATTTACCAAGTTAAAGAGTTAGCCACGGAGAAACCAAGAACGCAGAATGACTAGAGAATAACAGCATCCGCGTGGATTATCCACTCAAGTCATCGAGGGGGTGGTGGAGGCAGAGAAAGGAACAAGGAACAAGAGCCAAGCTAAAGCCACGAGGGATATACAAAATCAAGCAAAGGCCTTGTGGCGCAACGGTAGCGCGTCAGATTCCAGACCTGAAGGTTATCCGTTCAAATCGGGTCAGGGTCATTGATACTTGAATTGTATTTTTGCAGTTGCATAACCGTAACTTCAGTTACATGATCATTTTTTTGACCGAGCGAAGTCTTATATTCTTGGGGTTAATGAATGCGTTTGCGTTTCGTTTTATAGGTCCATTGATTCAAGACAACAGGACCAAGATGCTCCAGGCACAAGATGGCGAGCACTGAGTGGGGTGGGACTTTATTGGGGAACTGGAGTTCCATGTTGTTTAATCATTGTCTTTGCCCCTTTCCTTGGGATGACGCAGCTCTCGTGAAACAGTCTAAAGCCACGGAGAAGAAATCATCGATCAAGAGGTTCCTGTCCTTTGACTTACATACGCTCAGCACCACGTAAAGAACAATGATATACCGACGTGATCGAGTTGGACTGTTTCGACCATTGCGTCGGGGCTGGCTGCCTTCTTTTTGGCTGTACTGTGAAGCAAGCTCTTTGCCTGTCATGGATGCGGGGAAGGAGGAGCTCGCTGTGGGGGCACGGCGGGGTAGGATGGGAGCATCATGCCATCTGAGGACTCAAATCGTTCTCGAAGATCTGTCTCGATTCTTCTCTCTTGACTTGGTGATGATAAAGAAACAGAGGCTGTCGAGTTTTGAACAGAGCTAAATCCCTGGGCATCAATTCTGCTGGGCGTCTGCTCCGTTGCGCAAGACTCCATCTATCTGCCCAGGGAGACTTAATCTCCCAGATCGGTGGGTTGAGGATCTGAGCTGTGGTACCCGTAACCCTATCATTTCTCCAAATCCGAATGAGAGGAGCAGCAGCTGCAAAGCCATGTCTCGTCGGTCGAAAAAGAAAATACGCCCAACGGTCGTTGGCGCGTCTTTGGTCCCCACGTGCTGTGGACGGGATAGTCTCCAGAACAGAGTAATTCGCCCGTCCCGGATCATGTTGCGAGACGCAAAGTCAAGCTCGACTCGAGTCAAGCTGGACTGGTAGTTATCCTATATTATAGCATGCGCCTTCTCAGGTACCCGCCCGTTTGATCAGACCATCTTCTAAAGAGGGATCACGAACTTCGTGCTGGAGCCCGACGAGGATTTGATCCCGCCCCAATCAGCATCCAATCAGCCTGGGGGTTGTTGATAGCGCTGCATCCATGTCTGCTGCATCCATGTCTGCTGCATCAACGTGCATAACAGTCGCTAACGGTGCATGCCGCCGTCGACTGCAGGGAGGTGGGCTACATGGATACGGGTTACCATCCACCCATCATACCAGCAATCTTTGCGCAAAAGGCAACAAAACATCATCATCATCGAAGGCACGGCGGTTGAGGTGACCCTAGGTTATGAATCCACATTTGCCTTTGTGATCTGGAGCTTCGACACTGGCCTCCACTTCCCATTGGCAGTCGCCACCTATCTTGGTGATCGATCGGTCCTTCCAAGTATTTTTTTTACCCTATCGCCAAGTAAAACCCGTAATAACGGGATATCCGGCAAGATGTGGACGACTAGTTTTAAGGTGCTTGACCGGGGTCGCCTAGCTCGACAAGCTCTGAGCTCTGGGCTCGACGGCGGAAGGCACAGGCGAGGACTTGAGAAGAGCCCAGTGGGAACAAAGGTGGGAAGGTGCCCGCCCAGGGTAGTGGCGGCCTGGCGGCAAGGTGACAGGCGAGCGAGTGCCCTGGTTTAGCGGAATCGGAGGAGCCAGTCGAGCCCAGCCCGCCCAGACTCGAGGCCAAACCTGAGGACGGTCAGGTACCTTGCCTACAACAGGGCAGTCGAGATCCGATGGAAGCTGCGTGCCTTGGGCGAATCCTTCTCCTGCACCAAAACTTCTTTTCACAGAAATCATTCTTTCCGTTTTCTTGCCTTTTTTTTTGTTGCTTATCGCGACTCTTGCCTTTAATGTTTTACCCCGGCATTGATACCTATCACCATTTTTCCTAGGTTGCTCATTACATTTCCCGTCCATCCTGAGGTTGTTATCGAGGAGCCCTGCGCAGAATGGCTGCGCAGCAAGAGGGCGAGGATGTCTATGCCAGTGTAAGTTCCGAGTCCGAATCCCATCGAAACGGGATGCGCCCTCTCTCGCGCGATCCGTCTCTGCATGTGTTGTGGTTCTGCCACAGACGCGCCCACGGCCAACGCCAGTATCTATTCATCTCACTACGTCACGTCATTCATGGCCGGGCATGGCCCACCCACCCACGCACCCCAACTATCCAAGATGCCGATGCCGAACCCCGCAGGCCATCATCTCCAACACCAACCCGTACAGCTACTAAGACGTGTCTCGGAATAGCTTCTTTTGACGGATACATACCTTCCTGGTGAGTGCTGACGCGCCAATTGTTCGATCTGCCGCATCTGTGGCTAATCTGGGACCACATCCAGGGGCTCTCGTGCTTGCACATTCGTTACGCGATGCCGGCACCACCAAGAAGCTGGCCATCCTGGTCACGCTGGACTCGGTGTCGCCTGAAGTTGTCAAACAGCTCAAGGCTGTCTACGACTACATCATCCCCGTCAGCCGAATTCAGAACGAGAGGCCCGCTAATCTGTACCTCATGAACCGCCCCGATCTCCACTCGGCCTTCACCAAAATCAACCTCTGGAAGCAGACTCAGTTCCGAAAGATCGTATATCTGGACGCCGATATTGTCGCGTACAGAGCGCCCGACGAGCTCTTCGACCTGCCCCATGCCTTCTCTGCCGCGCCCGATATCGGCTGGCCCGACCTGTTCAACACCGGCGTCATGGTCCTGACCCCGAGCATGGGCGAGTACTATGCATTGAGGGCCATGACCGAGCGGGGTATCTCGTTCGACGGCGCAGACCAGGGGCTTCTGAATATGCACTTCAAAAACACCTTCAACCGTATCAGCTTCACCTACAACGTCACGCCCTCTGCCCACTACCAGTATGTGCCCGCGTACAGGCATTTCCAGTCGAGCATCAACATGGTCCACTTCATCGGCCCCGACAAGCCCTGGGTCCAGGGCCGGGACAACTTGACTGGCGGCCCTTTCGACGACATGACTGGCAGATGGTGGGCTGTCTATGATCGACATTATCGCGTCACGGTACGTCCCGAGCCCGATGGAGCAGCACTCACTGTTTGACGCTTCATACTGACTGGCAGCATAGACCGCGCCTTCTCAACCGCAGCGAACAGCTCCCGCATTGGTCCAGTATTTCGTCAAAGGAGAATACCAGCCCACGCGCCAATATATCGTCCCTGTTGGCGAACACTCTCGCGACCGGGCCACCGCCCCCCACGGTCAGCAATATCAACCTCCACCAACCCCTGTCCAACACCAGTACCAGCACCAGCACCAACACCAAGAACCTTTTGTTTACCATGAGCCAACCGGACATGACCACCCCCCTCGCGATGACACGTATGCTTTTGTCCACCACCCTCCCCCGTACCAGCACCATGAGAATTATGCGCACCACCAACACCACCAGCCCCATCCCGACCATGGGCAACATGATCCACAATATGATCAACAACATGAGCCACACCACGAGCCACACCATGAACCACAACATGACCATCACCGCCATCCTGAGCCTTCGCAGGCTGCCATTTCTGTCCACACACCTGCGCATTCAAGTTCCCTCCCCAGCGAGTCGTTTCGAACCGAAGAAGGAACAAGTACTGAGGCTCGAGAAGGGCAGGAATCCGCGCACGAACAATGGGCTACCCATTTGACCCCGCCGCACACGGAGCACAAGCCTGAGCCACCCAGACCGGTAGCTGCGCCAAGCTGGGACGCTCAAAGGTTAGTTGATTCTCGTCCTCTCTTTTATGCTTCGGCATGACGCTAACTCCAAGCTAAGACATCCTCCTCCGTCCGACTCCCAACCGGAAGCGATCCACCTCCCTCAGACTCACTATGTCATGTCTTCGGACCCTGCTCCGTTTGTCCCTCCCGAGAGATATCCGAGCCCTCCGAAGAACATGTGGTATGAAGTGCCAAAGGAACCTCCCGCGCCGCCACGTCAGAAGCCGAAAGCCATCTTCCCCTGGGAAACCAACCGGCCGCAGGCTTCTCGCGTTTTTGCGCAGCAAGAGGAATCCGTGTCTCCCGTACCCGAGTCAACGGCCGAATCTTCTGGTGAGCCCAAGGCGCCGATAGATGCGCAGCCACCGGCTGAACCGTCTATGACAGAGTCCACTTCGGTGGGACAGAAGAGCGAACCTCAAACGCCGACTACACCTTCAGACCCCTGGTCCTCCTTCACGCGGACAAACGCTTGGGACGAGGTGCCGCAGATCTCGCGGTACGTCGATGCCATACAGAAGCACCGCCGCACGCGGAGCCAGGGCCTGGGGTTTGTTGGACTTCCCGCAACTGGTCTTACCAAGGCTCAGGAAGCAAGTTGGGGAAAAGGCTCCAAGGTAACGGACTTTCCTAGCGAGGAAGACCGTCCTAGCCTCCCCGTCACTCCTGCACCGATCCGACGGCCAAGATTCTGGGGTGGTGGTGCCCCTGGAATCAGCCTGGGAGGTGAGGATGATGACGAGCAGCTGCCGGCCGCGTCGGGCGTGCCAACGCAGTCTGATTGGGTATGTGTGCATGGAATTTGGTGGACTCCAGCGGATTGTCTTTGCGACCTTACTAACGTCCTTCACTATCATAAGGATCCCGTAGCTCAGCTCCAGAAACTCGCTACACAGCAATCTAATTTGCTGTTGCAGAAGCTGGGCGGGAGCGGCGACACGGGAGAGGATGTCATTGGGACTGAAGGCAGGCATATCCCCTCTCGTCCGCTCCCCTTTGGGTCTGAAGGCGTCAAATCTCCCACATATGGCGCCCGTTCTTCTACTGTCCTGAGCCCCAAGCCTATCAAGCCCGATTCTTCTTCGAGCTCAGTGCGCAGCATTGTGGGCGATGAGCACGACGAAGTCACGCCCGCTTATGAGCGGCCGACGATCACGGTTCAACCGCCAAGCTATCAAGGCCCCGGCGCTTCGTTTGAGAAGGGCGAGGAATATGCGACATACGAGACTCCGGCTCCGCCGACAGA